TGCTGGGGCAGCGGAGAGGCCGGCGCGGCTCCCGGCGCGGCGAGGCCCGCCTCCAGCACCTCCGCGCACTCCCAGGAGGTGAGCATCTTGTCACTTTCCAGACCGCAGAGTTCCAACCGCTCCAAGCCCTCGGGCAGAACCTCCATTAAGGAATACCATGCCCTCCCTTCTAGGCAGCCGAGCCTACCCAATCGAAGAAAATGAGCTCTCAGCACGAGGACTCAGAGAAGCGATTTAATTTTCAGATCCTCAACTTTCCCCAAATTAGTCTTCCTGAGTAAATGCCTGCAGTAGAGGCTCTTTTCCTTTTCCCTTTTACAATAGACTTTCTCCCTTTTAAAAAAGAAAAGTAGTTCTCAACCATGAAATCTCTTGGAGATAATCTTACCTTGTCTTAAACAGATATGTAGGCACCATAAACACCACCTCATCTACTGATTAAAAATGTATTTTTAAATTTTTAACAATTATAAAATTGTGTACAATTTTCATGCTATGTGATCAGTTCTGCTGTCATTACAGTTGTAATGGTAACCCTAAAGAAATTTTTTTAAAAACTAGAATTTTGGTCACAAGAAAGAAAAATATTTTTCATCGGAGACATTCAAGTATAAAAGCATAAAATTGTCTCTGGAGAAGTGGAATGGTAGTAGGAGTTCAAGGAGAAAAAGAAGAAAAATAATGATTCCCAATTGAAAAGAGCTTATTTTTTTTAAGTCAAACACTTTTTTATTTTATTTCAGAGAGGAAGGGAGAGGGAGAGAGAGATAGAAACAACAGTGATGAGAGAGAATCCTTGATCAGCGGCCTCCTGCACGCCCAGTACTGGGGATCAAACCTGCAACCCGGGCATGTGTCCTGCCTGGGAGTCAAACCTGGGACGCTTCAGTCTGCAGCCCGATGCTCTATCCACTGATGCAAACCAGATAGGGCCTTACTTATGTATCCTATCTAATAAAAGAGAAACATGGTAATTAGCTGTAAGTCTGCTACCCTTCCCATTGGCTAATCAGGGTGATATGCAAATTAACTGCCAGCCAAGATGGCGGCCCGCAGCCAGGCAGCTTGAAGCTACCATGAGGCTTGCTTGCTTCAGTGATGGAGCACTCCCAACGTTCCCTGCCTGCCTTG